CGGGAACAGCAAGTGATCTGGCACTTTCCATTTGAGCTTTAGTTCACTTAAATTTTCTTTTTAATGCTTTTTTCGCAACAATTTTTAGCAAATTAGGTCGGATTTTTGGTTTTTACTGGAAAACTGGGCTATTTAGAAACTCAGGAGCAACTCGGGTATCTTCCTCGTCCTGAGTTAGCAAGTCGGCAATTCTTTTGTCACAAGATCCTGAGATATCCTGAAACTCTGTCTAAAATTCATAGGCAGAAAGCGGGTTTTTGTAGGTACTGGTGTGCCCTCCAGATGAATAGCAGGAAATTTCTTTGCTCTTTCTTTTTCCCAGTGTTTTTTTATATTTCTTTCTCTTATCGTTGTTTTTTTTTTGCCGATATTTGAGACATTTGAACACTTTAATATGGCCACTCAGGACTTATTTGAAGACTTATCACGCACTTCTGCGCGACCATCCTATCAGGTAGCCAGTGTTCACATTTTTACATCGCCTCTTAGGTTAAAATTCAGCAAAATAACTTTTTTGATGAACCCATCGTTGTTTTGGGGTAGTACTAGAGTTTCTGTATTCGAAAATTCGAAGCGGAGCTCGGCGGGATTTAAAAAATAGGTTTTTGCGACGTAATTTTAGCTCTTTGTGACTGGGGGGGAGGGGGAGGGGGGAGCTATAAAAAATAGCTTTTTCTGAGGCAATGGCTGCTTATGAAGGTTTCAAAAAATTTGAAAAATTTGTGCTTTTTCTTGGATTATTTAGGTTTTTAAAAAATGTTGATACTTTTTACTTTTTGAACATTTTGAGTGTGGCTGATAGCCTTTGGGTGTTTTCTGACATTTTCGAGGAGGAGATTGGCGAACATGGATTGTGCGGAGTCAACTTTTTTCGGCCCCTTTAATATCCTTCAAACGTGGATTTCATCGTACACTCCTGTCTCTCTCTCTATTTAGTGCGATATTATTATCGCCTGCTATATTATTACGATTTTTTGTAGTCTTAATATTTGAAATTTTCAATGCCCATCACAAAATCTTCATTTCGATACTGTATTTTTTTTTTTTGTGAACTTTTATATTGAAAATCCTCTTATCCTAACAGTAGGATTTTTAAGATCCCGGTCATGCACTCCAGATTTCTCTTATTTCTTCCTATCCTTTTAATCGGTTTTTTTTTTCTTAATCGTGAGATTATCATTATAGCCTCTTCTTTAGCTGACTCATTACAGTATATTTTACACTTCTAGTTCGTTTTTTTTTGGGTAATTTTTATGAATAACAAAATTAGATTTGAAATTTTTTTTTTTTTTTGGTAGTTTGGAGCCAGAATTTGGGACATGGGACGGATGTATGACTTTTGGGAACAGGGGAAATGAGGGGAGGGGGGAGACTGTTGAAGTAGTAACAGGCATAAGAGTACATGTTTGCTGTATGTTTTGGTCGCAAGCACGGCGAATTTTGACAGGGATAATTTTGGGATGTGGAGAGATTTAAAGGCAAATTTAGACTTTATCTTTAAATCTTCGATAGATTGTGTAGCTACAAGAGAAACACGATTTTCCCGCACTTGGTTCTAACGTTTTAGGAAAGTTGTTTAAGCAAATTTAGACTTTCTGTTTTAATTTTCGATAGACTGTGTAGCTACAAGAGAAGCACGATTTTCCCGCACTGTGGTTCTACCGTTTTAGGAAAGTCTCTTAACAAAAATTTATAGTTTGTAATATGCATTCAGCAAGGTGAAAAATAACCAAATTTTTCAACTTAATTTTTTATAGCATTGGACAAAAAACGTTTTGAACCCACTTATAAAGTGTTCGGGAAAGACAAAGACGCTCGGAAGTGGACTGGGCAATAGTACATTTTTTTTTTCACCAGTAATTTTCCCTCTCTCTCTCTGTCTTCTCCAGGAGATTGCGATTCTGGCTTCTGGAAAAGACTATAATTTTGTCTTCTGAACAATTGAAGCGAATCTTTGAGGGATTGGTTCCCCAGCTGTGAAGTTGACCCATCGATCGAGCGAAGAGAGAAGCTGTTTGCCATTTATACCGAAACTAAAACAACCAGCAATGAACTAGAACGA